TCTCTCCCTCTCTCTCTCTCTCTCTCTCTCTCTCTCTCTCTCTCTCTCTCTCTCTCTCTCTCTCTCCCTCTCTCTCCCTCTCTCTCTCTCTCTCCCTCTCTCTCTCTCTCTCCCTCTCCCTCTCCCTCTCCCTCTCCCTCTCCCTCTCCCTCTCCCTCTCCCTCTCCCTCTCTCTCTCTCTCTCTCTCTCTCTCTCTCTCTCTCTCTCTCTCTCTCTCTCCCTCTCTCTCTCTCTCCCTCTCTCTCTCTTTCTCCCTCCCTCCCCCCCCATCCTATTTATTAATCTAATTAATCATTAATTGTCCGATTCTCACCTGCTGCTTTCTTCTTCTCAGGGCGAGGAGGTGGGCGTGTCGGGGCGCGACGGCGAGGTGCGCTGGCAGGGGGCGGCGTGCCGGCGGCTGGGCTGGGCGCCCGAGACGGGCTTCACGGCGGCGGCGCTGCTGGACCGCCTCCTGCACCGCGTCCGCATCCCGCCGCGCTACCTGCACGCCGTGGGCGCCGCCGCCCTCTTCATCGCCGCCAAGATCCACGAGGAGGACGAGGTCGGTCTCTCTGTCTCTTGGGAGACTGTTGTTATTGCTTTCGTTGTCATCATCATTATTTTCATCATCATCATTATTTTCATCCTTTTCATAATTATATTCATCATTTTCATCATCATTATTTTCATCATTTTCATCATCATCATCATTATTTTCATCATCATCATCATTATTTTCATCATCATTATCATTATTATTAATATTATTCTCTGTTGACTTTTCTGCTTTTTCTTCTTTGACTTGTCATTCTGCCTTCTGCTGCTGCATATACTACTTTTCTTTTCATTTTCTTGTTTTACTTTTTACATTTCATTCCCCCTCGCCGTTTCCTGCTCCATGCTCTCAGCGTCTCTTTTCAGTTTTTCAGGGTAGTGATGGCATACATGTCCCCTGCATCTATTAAGATTGCATTGATCATTGTCTCATCATCATTTTGATCATTGTCTCATGATCATAACTACCATGAAAATTGTCATAGAACTGTTACTCATAAGCTTTTACCAGCACAGTAGAAGGCCCTCTGTTGTTCACAAGTGTTGCTTTGTCTCTTTGTACCCCCTTCTTCACATGTCTTTTCAACCAAATGATTAAAAATGCCTTTTGATTTGGAAAATAAGTATTCTGTTGAAGCAATGCTTAAATGCAACAGTGCTTGTTAAGAAAATTCCACACATAATTAGGAAAATGTCTTCCCCTTCCCGTGGGCTCAGGAACCCTCCTGTCCTCGGAAATCGCACATATCCCAGAAGGGGAGGAAAAAACAGTATCCAAGTATTCTGTAAATGTGTGACACAGAGTGATACAAGTTTATCTACTCTAGACCTAGAATTGTCTAAATTAATCACAATCTCTGTTTTCTCTTCTCCTTCCCCTTTTCTCCGGAGCAGAATGTCCCAGCCACAATAGAGGTGGTGGAGCGCGGTGGCATGGACTGCTCCCACCGAGAGCTCCTCCGCATGGAGCGCGTGCTGTTGGACAAGCTGTCATGGCATCCGAAGGCCTCCATCACTCTGGATTTCCTTCAGGTGCTCCACGCCCTGGCTATTGTCTCCGCGCCCAAGCACCAGCAAGCGCAGAGGTTGGTGATGAGCAAAAAAGCTTGTGTGGGGTGTGTTCTTTACTGGTTGCCCTTTCGGATGTGTTTATTTACTTGTTTTATTTTTAATTATATATTTCTTTTATTATTATTATTATTATTATTATTGTTTACTTGTTTTATTTTTAATTATATAGTTCCATTATTATTATTATTATTATTATTATTATTATTATTATTATTATTGTTCCTATCATCATTAGTATTGTGATTATTATTATCATTACTACTACTTTTTTAAGTAAAGCAATTGGGTAATGGCCTTGTTATATGTTTATCTGTCATGCACAATCCAGTATCTGTCAGGCAATCCTCAGTTATGATTATGGTCTATATTTTCACTCTAAAGGGTACCTTATTCCAGGAGTGGATCGCCAACACGTCAGCTGGGCCACCTGACAAACCGACTGTGGCGAGTTGTGTGCTCGGGACGCAGTGGAAGCATCCGGCCATCTTTGCTTAGCCTTGCCTTACTGTCTCTGGCCCTGGACACGTCCGCGTCAGAGCCAGGTCTCACGCTCTGGCTCCAAGCACTCACACAGGTTGGTCTTAGGGCCGTTTTGACTGACACCTCTGAGTCAAGTGTTCAGAAATCCTAGAGGAGACAGTGATAATGTGAAAGAAATACAGATAGTCCCCTACTTAAGAACATTCTACTTATGAACCTTCCATACATACAAACAAAATTTTTTAAGTTCTAAAGTCCAGAAAATTGTTTTAAAGATGCTAGCAAACATTAAATTTCCCGGGCACGAATATAGTTCAAGAGTCTGGTACTGTATAAGGTATGTTGTACTTATTGGTATTTATTTACGGGTATTCTGAATGTAAACAAAACTTTAAAACAATGGGAAAAAAGGTAATGGAGACCCGACTTTCGACATACAAACAAATGAACTTACAAGCAGCCTCTCGGTCCCCATTATGTTCTTAAATTGGGGACTTACTGTACTATTATTGTAATTATTGGTGTACTTGTCATAGACAGTATCCAGACAAATTATTCTAACCATCTGTGTTATACTGTTATGATACCCTATTGACGATGCCATTCTTACCTTTTCCACTGTCCATTGTTCAGGTGAGTGATGAAGAGCTTGCCAGCGCTCGGGCATTAGTGAAGGAGATCCTGGGAGAGGAATCCTTTGAGTTCCTTCCTGTGCCCCCCTTGAAGACCAGGCAGCACAGCCCGCCTTCAAGACCCAACAAGAGGAAAGTGGGACACTCCCTGGACACCGAGGAGGAGGACATGTATGTGGACATCAAGAAGCTGTATGCTTATGACAAGGTAAGGGCCCGGAGTGAGTTGCCACGGACCGTCCGGTCTCGATGAATAACAAACAACTGTTGTGCAGCTTTTCTTTGTATTTCTTGTGCAGCCTGGGAATATATATCTAAAGGATGAACAGTCAGTTATTTGTACGATCTTTTACAGAATGCAACAGAAATGCCCCTCCATGAAAAATCGCCAGAATGTCCGGAGGAGCTCGATGACACGTACAGTGACATCCGGCGCCTCTACTCCCCGGTGCCCATCCTCAGTGACCCCCTCGCCGCCAGCAAAATGTGCCCCACCAAGCCTGCCAGCTGCAAGAAGTTGTCGGCCAAGAAGAAGAAGAAGACCAAGCCCACATTCAAGGCCAAGAACTCCATGAAGAGCTCCCTGAAGCAAGCTCTGAAAATCCCCTGCAAGATATCTCTCATCACAACGAAGAAGATCTTCGAGGAGATCTGCGAGGAGGAGGAGGAGGAGGAGGAGGAGATGATGGAGATGGAGGTCGAGACCGAGGAATCTCAGCAGGAGTGGGAGGGACCCCTGGTAGAGCCTGTTGGCATCCTGAACTCACCCATTTTCTCACCGATGAGTCCAGAGTTTCCCGACATCCGCAATGTGGTCGTCAAGAAAGAAGGTAGGTTGGAATTTAAGTGCCGGGAATAACCTCATATATCTGCAGGGATGCATTTGGAACTTTTCAATTCTGTATTGTTGAAATAGTATTTTTGTATATGCTGTTATAACGAGTTTGATATTATTTTGATTGGTGATTATCTTGTTTCAGACCTTTGCTGGCGTCAGAAGGCTTTGGAAGTCACTGAACAAGTTTACAGACCAATGACCTATGCTCAGGTGTTGCGCTTACACCTTACACCTTTAACCCGAGCCCTTGGTGTATAATTGCCCCCCCCCCCCCCCCAAAAAAAAAAAAAATAAATAAATAAATAAAAAATAAACAGTAACTCTCCCACCGACAAGGACACAGTAACAAACATTCTGTTCTTTCTGGTGAAGTTGCGAAGCTGTTGCATCCCACCAGTCTTGTAAAAGCCACTTGAGGAGAATGGACAATTTTTTTAAAGGCAAATTACTTACTTTCAATGAACAGGCCACAGATGAGAGTGGTTTTTACCTCAGATCACAGTAACCACTGCCAGTTCCTCAGGTGGCACAAGTATTTTATTTCATTGTACAAATAGACTCTTGTGTAAATGATACCAATGCCTTCAATAGACAAAGTGGTCTCAGAATGGAAATTTAAACCCTTTTTCTCTTTTTTTTTTTTCTTCATATGAACTTCCAAGATTTTATTTTGAAAGGACTCCAACTTCCTTGTTGGAGATCTTGAATTAAATTGTCTTTTAGTTTGATTCTTGTGATGCCAGTTGTATCACTGACAGGCTGCATGAGTGTGCATATTATTAGTCCCTCCCTCACCACTTCCCTTTCACATCAGGTAAAGGCTGATACTGTTGTTGATCAGGCTATCCGAGTGTTATGTTCTTGTACAGAGAGAGATTGTGATTCCCTTCGTGGAGGATGGAAATCCACACTGTATTTTCTTTATTTAATTTTAAGGTATTTAGTTTGTACTGTGGTTACCAGAGATGTATGTTGTGTAACTGATTCGCAATTAGGCTTTGTATGAACACCAAAAATATGGACAGCAGTTTTATGAAAGATTTGGTGCTAAGGAGTCGTAAATAGGATATCAGAGAGGTTATTTAAATAAAAAAAAAGAGAGAGAGATAGATTATTATGGCCATAGAAGCTATTGTTGTGGACTGTATTTTTGAGGATGTAAGTGCAGCACAGTACAGGGATCTCAGCTATGAGTAATGTACAAATTTATTGTAAGCAGTCTTTAGTAAAAAAAATGATAGTTATGTACAGCATAGAGTAGTCTTTTTATGATTATTAAACTTTTTATGTTTCCCAGTAAATCATTGAGGAAGAGTTGTTGGCATTACGAAGGGCGATTCACATTTTATACTTTATGCGAATCCACGTAAATGGAAAATTCCAGTTTACTTGTTTTTATAACCAGGTGCTCTAAGGGTCTACTATATTCCTATCCATAATAAGCAGAATGTTGACAGTGTTCAGATGTGATTCATGACACAAGCACCAAGCAAGAGGCTTTCACATTTTTTAACAAGGTCGACAGCAGAAGAAATATTAGACTGGAGTCTATTTCCATTAATTATGATGCATTTGGTAACCCTTTTCTGAAATTGTGAGCACTCGTTCCAAAGCTTTGGACTTCATTCATTGCTTTTTTTTTATATAAGGAAAAATTTACAGATTTGCAACAGGATAGAACAAATGCCCATGTGTTTCCTTGCAAAATGTGTCACAGTAGAAGGTTGCACCCAGTACTTTGTGCCAAAAGATGCTGATCATATTTTGTTACAAAATTAGCATTGTTCTATTATAATGAACAACAATGCGTCCCCTATGCAGTTCTACTTATTGTTCTATTCAATTATTGCTCAATCGAACAAAACATTAGCCACTTTAAACTTAGACTTAAACCTAAGCTAGTCTGAAAAAGCATTCAAAGTCGATCTTCGTTGCGCTTTAAAGGAAGAGGACGTCAGGGTGCTAAGTTTGCGCGTTGTTCATTGGCGACAACGGCCGACAGAGAGTGAATGAATATTTTGACTCCGTAAAGAGGTATTATCTTTGATTTGATGGAAGTTATTTTGGGCTTTTCATACACCGAGGAGGCAATGAAATCAGATCTGACGGATGGGGTGTGTTTGTCAGCACAAGTGACAGAAATTGGCGATAAACCCCAAGCTAGAGAAACTGTATTAAACCCTAGAAGTGAGAAATCTTTGGATAATCCCTCGACCAGTCTTGGTGACTAAAGCTCGGGGGATTTTACGCGAGAGAGGCCGTTGACTGGCGGATTGTGCCGAGAGTGAAACCCAAAGTAAATTTTTACTATGACAAGGCAGTCGAGTTGGTACCACGAAAATGTTTGTTTTACTTGATTATTTTAAAATGAGATTTTTTATTCTTGTGACAGAATAATAACGAATGATTTCAATGTTCCTTTTTTTTATCTCGAGGTCTGATAGCAAGCGTCTGCCTCACGAACCCTTAGTATGTCCGAGAAATACCTTCCCTTTTTCCCCCCGTTTTCCCTTTTTATGTGTGTGTGTGAGTTTCCTTAACCTTCCCACTCAATAGTTACCAATTCATAGTATTTGTCAGTGTTTAAAGAATAGTGATCTCTATTCATGGAAAAAGTACAAAAAAAAAAAAAAAGAAATCTCCATATTTTAGGTTTAGTAAATATACCTTAGTAGAAGCCTCATCAATTCCTATACATTGTAGCAAAGACATGAAGGTGGTCATAATTGCATTTAATTACCTTATGATGTAGTTATGTAGAAGATGCTATGTAATGATGAATGGCCTTGGATATGCATGTGTTTGCAGACTATCTCAATTTATCATTTAGAGATGTAATAAAGGAAAATGTAGATTATCTTTATATATGAAATCTTGCAAGATACTTGTATATTTTACAGATATGTATGAAATAACATTGTGTTGAGGCCAGCCTTGAGATATTTTATCTGAACAAATGTACAAGAAATAGATTGCTTGGAGACGCAACACAGTGGAGAATTATGCAGTATTCTTAAAGTAATGGATTCTTATTTTTGATGTATCAGAATGATATTACATCATATTACAAAAAATGAAATGGTTTCCTTTTCCTTCCCCCATCTAGATGACTCTTACACATTTTTAAAAATATCTACCTTTGGTTTTTATTCTATAAATTCTGTAGCAAAGAAAAATGGCAGAGAGTTAGTTATTGGTTTTCAGTTTTCTAAAAGTACTGAGTAATTTTTTGTGAAAATAAATTGCAATGATTATATTGTTGCCGTTTAATTTAAAGGCAGTTTGAAGTTTTAGGCTTTATCATGACAGCAAGCTATGTTGAGTTTAAAATGAACTTTCAAGATTCTAGTAACTAAGCTTACTCATGGACCAGTATACAATTTATGATTCGGAAGCTGCAAGAAAAGTTTAAAAAATAATTATAGTTGCTTTTATACATTACAAAATGTTTTATAGATACTGAAATTTCACAAGAGCATGTTAAATGTCAACTGTTTGTATTTTTTTCTTCTCAAATTTATTTTATATGAATGATATTTTGAAATTTAAGGCAATAAAAAAATGGTCAGAAACAAATGAATTCTAAATCCAAAGAAGGTTTGTTAAATTCAACAGGATGTATTTAAGTGTATTTAATACTGGACAAAGAAAATTAAACCTAACGAAACTTTTCATGACAAAAGTTAGAGGACATAATGAGGGCATTGAACAAGAGTTAAAAAAATAATAATATGAATGAAAATTAAAACACGAAATGACCCCAGGAGGAATAAGGGAAAAATGACCCGAAATACTTGCAATCATGAAAGAAAAACTATTAGAATTATGAAGAGAATTGCAATCATGAACAAAAATTATATGGTAATTATCGTAGTATATAGATTGTTGTAAAGATGGTAAAGGTGAAAGTCACAATACAGACACGAAAAAATTGACAGGAAGAGGAAGAAAAATGGACAAAGAAGAAAGAGAAAACAATTATACAAATATTAGTAAAGGTATGAACAAAAACCCATCTTTAGCAAATGTAATTCCCATGAACAGTTATTTAACGCATGAGATGCAAGTTATTCATTCGCATTTAAATCTCCTCCACAGTAAAATCTATTGAAGATTGTGATGAGCCTAACCTTTGTATATATTGCATCACCTTCGTATATATTGAGGTGTCCAAATACAGGCTTAAACTGAGTATTAAAAAAATATATATCAAACTTAATAGCTTCGCATCTCATTACGTGTCCAAATACAACCTTAAAATAGATATGAAGATAAATATACCAATCTCACTATCTTCGCATCTATTCAAGTCTCGAAAATCAGGCAAGAGAGAGATCGAGCCTTTATCATTTTCTCGTATCTACTGCAAAAGTAAATGCGTGCCGAAAATCAAGTTGATTAAAATAAACTATTGTTACAGTACTTCCTCCCCTCTCCCCCCCCCCACACACATTACCCTGCTTATTATTGCCATGCATAGGGAGAGGAGGAGGAGGGGGGGGGGAGATGGGTGCTTAGGAAACGGGGACTGAGGCCCAGTGACAGGGATCCACCTTAAGGTCTATTATAACTAGGCTATAATAAAAGTATAGACCTTGACCCACCCTGTCTTGGTTCCCAGCCCTGGCCTTCGACTAATCTTGATTTTCTTTTTCCCTTTTCCTTTTTCCTTCTCTGTATGCCCCATCGGCTCATCTTCATTACCCTCTTCACTACCATACTACTCTCTAGTACCGTCTAACCTTTCAACTTCATCCTAGTCATTAACTATACTTTAGCATAGTGCTATATGGCCATGATGTGTAGCTCATTTATTTGCTATATTTAATTATTTTAAACATCTTTTTGTTTTAACTATTAACCCTTCTGGATATTCACAAACGTCTTACTGACAGCAACAACAAAAATATTCTTTCCCACCATATATTTTGTATACATCGGTTTTGACCTTAGATGGTGTTATAGCCGAAATTTTTCAGTAAATAAATAAAACGCACATATGCATACACACGCACGCACACACACCCACACGCACACGCACACCCACACATATATATGTATATATATGTGTGTGTGTGTGTGTGTGTGTGTGTGTGTGTGTGTGTGTGTGTGTGTGTGTGTGTGTGTGTGTGTGTGTGTGTGTGTAGGATTATGAATTTATATCATAGTCTCCACTGAAAATCGCCTAGTCACGAATTTCTGGTTTACTTTAATTTCTTTCTCATACTACACAGACTAATGATATATGTACTTTCTAAAATATATTATGTGTTCATATTTAACTGACAAATATTTACTTATTTGCATAGTTATGTTGTCTAAAATACTCAGTCCTCAGTCTATTGTAAATAAGTAATCAGGTAATTGAAACCGGGCTCCCCTCATGGGCATAGCCCGGGCGAGGTTCTGCCTCGCAAATCAGACAAAAAAAAAGGTAGTAATGCCGGGCTCCCCTCATGGGCAAAACCCGGGCGAGGCTCTGCCTCGCAAATCAGAAAAAAAAAGTTATCCTCCGGATTAGTACAATGGTAACGTATCGGCCTCTCATCCGAGGTTCGGCGGTTCGCGCCCCGCCCAGGCGCGAGAAGTTGTAATTGTTGCCTGGAGGTTACTGCTGTGGCTGGGCACCACGGTGGGTAAGGACTAAGCTCACCCGAGTCAGCACCTTCTGTGACACACTGTTAGCGAGTCGGCACAGGCCAGGCTCAGCTCAGCTTCGCATATCAGATTTATTAAAGAAGAATTAGAATTTGTGTAAAGGAGAGGAAGAGAGAGAGATATATATGTATTTAAATGCACGTGTGTATGTACGTATGCATATGTTAAAGGAACCGTCCCTCAAAGTGGTGGGGTAGGGTAAAAATAGGGGGGGGGGGGAGATGAAGATGAGTAATTTTTAAAAATTTTCTTCAAATTTAGATATTTTGTATATTGTACCATTCCACATCTTTGGTACAAAATTCCCATGTGGAGGAATATTGTTTGAGAATAGCGGTACAGAAGCTCGAAAAATTCAGTCTGATGAGAAGACAGACGAAAATTTGAATATTTCTGTTCATTTTCTGAATCTTTCCTACAATGAAAATTTATTATTCAATTAACTATAAAACTACACACATTTCTCTTCCAAATGCCGCTTGTTACATGAAGAAGTCTTGACTGGTTCCTGAGTTATAGTATAATCTAAAATGGTACCTCTGTGTATGCTATCTTCAGCAACATGATGCATTCATAAACGCAGTTACTTGACTCAGACCACCTGTATTCGTGTTTTATAGTATCTACAGGTGCTTATATATGCATATATGTGTATGTGGGTGTACATGTACAATTTCGTAAATTTGTGTACAAGTGCACATGCATATAAAAAACATATGCACACATGAACTTGTGTGCGTAAATGTGTGTCGTATGCACACTTATGTGTAAATATGTAGATAT